GTTACCACATGTTCAAATTTGCTTCATCTTATAACATTGCCCAAAAATTATGACTGTCTCCTTCCGATGTCTGTGAGTAGTTGTCTTCGAGCTCCCGCCTCTATCAAAACCTCTTGGTTGCTTTTGGGTGAGGGGTGGGGGGGGGGGTGGAGGTGGGAGGCGCGGGGGGGGGGGCGGTCCAAGGTATTTTAAGCATCGTTCTGTAAAACCACATCTCTGTGGCCTCAAGAAATTGTTTGGCCTGCCTACCGATTATCAAGGACTTACAGCCATATGTTAAATCTGGATGTGTGTAGCAAGCAAGAATTTTTTTCCTAACCTTCAATGACAAAGATATATTGCATAAGATGTTCTTCATTTCATAAAATGCATTTTTTGCCTGTCCTATTCTGTTTCTTATTATAGTAATGCATCTTCCATCTGATGTGCCCAGATACTTAAATTTCTGTACTTGTCCCCGAAAAAAACCATTGACATTTTTTTTAAAAATACATTTAGGAATAATTATTTTCTTTTATACCACCATTACTTCTGTCTTCCCACTATTCAAACTGAGGCCCGTTCTTCCACTTTCGTGTAAAAAAAAAAAAAAATAGATCTAAAAAGAAAACATCCATAATGTAAAATGTACGCTGAAATTTTACTTCACAAAATGTAGTACAGAATAGTAAACATTTAAAAACATTTCATGTTTTGCATCCTTCAGTCAGTCAGTCTGTGGTAACTAATACATAAGAATGAAAGTATTCTTAGTTTTATAACAAGTAACTAAACTTGTAAATTGTCACAGACAGGTTAGTTAATCCATGAAAGCGGTATTGGCTTTCCAAAAAAATAAATAAATAAATAAATAAAATATTTAAAAAAAAAATCGTTCTATGTTGTCAGCATTAAGGCAGCTTCTTGTCTAACTGAAGGAATTTCTAAACAGACGCTCACCTGGTACGTTCGTAGTTGGTGCACAGAGATAACGCTTAACAGTATGAACCAAGGTGGGAAATCTTGACATGTTAATTTTCTACCAGTCCAGAAACAGGTGTAATGTAACCACAACTATTCGTATTCGGCCCGACCGCAACTATTCGGCAGAATACCGAATAGTTATTAGGTCCACTATTCGGCCCCGAAGCGAATATTCGGTACAGCCCTAATGTATAGGCAGGGCATCAGCAGCTTTTAATCTTCTTCTTCTCAAAGTCCATGCCGTGTGGCGTTGGTAGTCATGTCTGTCCACAACCTTCTGTCTCGTCAACTTTCAGTCAACTCTGACACAGATGATCTTCCATAGTCCATGCCGTGTGGCGTTGGTAGTCATATCTGTCCACAACCTTCTGTCTCGTCAACTTTCAGTCAACTCTGACACAGATGATCTTCCATAGTCCATGCCGTGTGGCGTTGGTAGTCATATCTGTCCACAACCTTCTGTCTCGTCAACTTTCAGTCAACTCTGACACAGATGATCTTCCACAGTCCATGCCGTGTGGCGTTGGTAGTCATATCTGTCCACAACCTTCTGTGGCGTTGGTAGTCATATCTGTCCACAACCTTCTGTCTCGTCAACTTTCAGTCAACTCTGACACAGATGATCTTCCATAGTCCATGCCGTGTGGCGTTGGTAGTCATATCTGTCCACAACCTTCTGTCTCGTCAACTTTCAGTCAACTCTGACACAGATGATCTTCCACAGTCCATGCCGTGTGGCGTTGGTAGTCATATCTGTCCACAACCTTCTGTCTCGTCAACTTTCAGTCAACTCTGACACAGATGATCTTCCATAGTCCATGCCGTGTGGCGTTGGTAGTCATGTCTATACTTGAGGCTGGGACATATTTTATTGAGGAGAAAATGGTTCACTACAAAGAGCCAGAGTAGGGCTTCAAATAACGAAAAATGGCATCCCATAAAGGGATGACAAAATAATATGACCAAAGAATGTAGAGTGTCTCTTTTTGCTTTTATATAGCTTCAACAAAATAAGGAATTCAATATGGTATAGTTTTAAAACCAAGTTACGTATTTTCAATTCTAATGTTATTTCAGTGCTGACACATGCATGAGATAGTTGGAGGACTAGTAAAGACATGGAACGAACGTTAAATGCTTTTAAAAATAAATTTCGGAGAAAACTGATGATAATCCAGTGGAATGAATTCAAAAGGATGAAAGAAATAAGAGAAATGTCTGACCAACCACTAGTATCAACAGTCATAAGTCGAAGAAGATATCGCCACATTGGACATATCATGTGTCACTGTTTGTGTTGAACGTTTAAAAATCACCTTTGTGTGTGTGTGTGTAAATGTGTGTGTCTTGGTGTTAATTATTTTATGTATATCGACTGAACATTCGATCATTTCTAATATTTTTTGATGTCCTGGAGGTCATCCTCTTAATTACGTGCCCAAGATAAGAGACCAAATATACCTTAAATAATCACAGAGTCAATTAACAAACACCAACAAAAAATTGAACTGACCTGGGCCTTTAGCTCCTCCAGGCAACAGTCTACCCAGTCTGAAGATGACAGCCCTCTCATACTCCTGAACCACCTGTAAAGGAGTAAAATTATCCAGAATGACAACATAAAATATGCAAATGTGCAGGACGTGACGATTCCTTGAATGAACCAAGAACTAGACTTCAATGTGTCGGTTCTGCATTAATGGAAGCCTATTTGGATGGCGGGAAATGCCCATGACCTGCCCCCACCTTCCCTTAAAGGGGCTTTCTAGCAGTCACGATGTACTCCAGATTTCTAGCAGTCACGATGTACTCCAGCTTTCTTACAGTCACGATGTACTCCAGCTTTCTTACAGTCACGATGTACTCCAGCTTTCTAGCAGTCACGATGTACTCCAGCTTTCTAACAGTCACGATGTACTCCAGCTTTCTTACAGTCACGATGTGACCCTGCTTTCTTACAGTCACGATGTACTCCAGCTTTCTAGCAGTCACGATGTACTCCAGCTTTCTAGCAGTCACGATGTACTCCAGCTTTCTTACAGTCACGATGTACCCCAGCTTTCTTACAGTCACGATGTACTCCAGCTTTCTAGCAGTCACGATGTACTCCAGCTTTCTAGCAGTCACGATGTACTCCAGCTTTCTAGCAGTCACGATGTACTCCAGCTTTCTAGCAGTCACGATGTACTCCAGCTTTCTAGCAGTCACGATGTACTCCAGCTTTCTAGCAGTCACGATGTACTCCAGCTTTCTAGCAGTCACGATGTACTCCAGCTTTCTAGCAGTCACGATGTACTCCAGCTTTCTAGCAGTCACGATGTACTCCAGATTTCTAGCAGTCACGATGTACTCCAGCTTTCTAGCAGTCACGATGTACTCCAGATTTACTAGCAGTCACGATGTACTCCAGCTTTCTAGCAGTCACGATGTTCTCCAGCTTTCTAGCAGTCACGATGTACTCCAGATTTGTAGTAGTCACGATGTACTCCAGCTTTCTAGCAGTCACGATGTACTCCAGCTTTCTAGCAGTCACGATGTACTCCAGCTTTCTAGCAGTCACGATGTTCTCCAGCTTTCTTACAGTCACGATGTACCCCTGCTTTCTAACAGTCACGATGTACCCCTGCTTTCTAACAGTCACGATGTACTCCAGCCTTCCAACAGTCACGATGCACTCCAGCCTTCCAACATTTACGATGTACTCTAGCCTTCCAACAGTCACGATGTACTCCAGCCTTCCAACAGTCACGATGTACCCCAGTTTTCTAACAGTCACGATGTACCCCAGTTTTCTAACAGTCACGATATACCCCTGCTTTCCAACAGTCACAATGTACCCCTGCTTTCCAACAGTCACAATATACCCCTGCTTTCTAACAGTCACGATGTACCCCAGCTTTCTAACAGTCACAATGTACCCCTGCTTTCTAACAGTCACAATGTACCCCAGCTTTCTAACAGTCACAATGTACCCCTGCTTTCTAACAGTCACAATGTACCCCAGCTTTCTAACAGTCACAATATACCCCTGCTTTCTAACAGTCACAATGTACCCCTGCTTTCTAACAGTCACAATGTACCCCTGCTTTCTAACAGTCACAATGTACCCCTGCTTTCTAACAGTCACGATGTACCCCTGCTTTCTAACAGTCACAATGTACCCCAGCTTTCTAACAGTTACGATGTGACCCTGCTTTCTAACAGTCACGATGTGACCCTGCTTTCTAACAGTCACAATGTACCCCAGCTTTCTAACAGTCACGATGTGACCCAGCTTTCTAACAGTCACGATGAGACCCTGCTTTCCAACAGTCACGATGTGACCCTGCTTTCTAACAGTCACAATGTACCCCAGCTTTCTAACAGTCACGATGTGACCCTGCTTTCTAACAGTCACGATGTACCCCTGCTTTCTAACAGTCACGATGTGACCCTGCTTTCTAACAGTCACGATGTGACCCTGCTTTCTAACAGTCACGATGTACCCCTGCTTTCTAACAGTCACGATGTGACCCTGCTTTCTAACAGTCACGATGTACCCCTGCTTTCTAACAGTCACGATGTGACCCAGCTTTCTAACAGTCACGATGTGACCCTGCTTTCTAACAGTCACGATGTGACCCTGCTTTCTAACAGTCACGATGTACCCCTGCTTTCTAACAGTCACGATGTACCCCTGCTTTCTAACAGTCACGATGAGACCCTGCTTTCCAACCCTGCTTTTCTAACAGTCACGATGTGACCCTGCTTTCTAACAGTCACGATGTACCCCCTGCTTTCTAACAGTCACGATGTGACCCTGCTTTCTAACAGTCACGATGTGACCCTGCTTTCTAACAGTCACGATGTGACCCTGCTTTCTAACAGTCACGATGTGACCCTGCTTTCTAACAGTCACGATGTGACCCTGCTTTCTAACAGTCACGATGTGACCCAGCTTTCTAACAGTCACAATGTATCCCTGCTTTCTAACAGTCACGATGTGACCCTGCTTTCTAACAGTCACGATGTGACCCAGCTTTCTAACAGTCACGATGTGACCCTGCTTTCTAACAGTCACGATGTGACCCTGCTTTCTAACAGTCACGATGTGACCCTGCTTTCTAACAGTCACGATGTACCCCTGCTTTCTAACAGTCACGATATACTCCTGCTTTCTAACAGTCACGATGTACCCCAGCTTTCTAACAGTCACGATGTACCCCTGCTTTCTAACAGTCACGATGTGACCCTGCTTTCTAACAGTCACGATGAGACTCTGCTTTCTAACAGTCACGATGTGACCCTGCTTTCTAACAGTCACGATGTGACCTTGCTTTCTAACAGTCACGATGAGACCCTGCTTTCTAACAGTCACGATGTGACCCTGCTTTCTAACAGTCACGATGAGACCCTGCTTTCTAACAGTCACGATGTGACCCTGCTTTCTAACAGTCACGATGTGACCCTGCTTTCTAACAATCGAGTGTTTCCCCTTCTCATGACCTGACCCATGACACGTAAAGACATATTAAACATGACAGCGGAGCAAATTTACAAACAAGCAAGCCGGCATCTTCTTCTCCGCGTTTACTAGCTGAACAATTTCGGCGGAAAGTTATGGTTGTTCATCCAACCCTGGACCAGAACATAAGTGTTGCGTGTACATCTGTTTTACAGATCTGACTTATTTGTATGAAGATTGTTGGCTCCCCGCCTCTAACACAAATGCACTTCGACTATAAAGAAAGCCTACAATTTGTCGACTCTCACGACATGTTTGTTGCGGAGGCAGTAGACCTGCTCTTGTTGTCCTCACAATGAGGCTGCAGTACCCACACGGAAAGCAAGCAAACATCATGCCTAGGCTTGTCATGTTTCTCAAACAGGCTATCCTCCGAATAACGGTCCCAAATTATCGAGGCTGAAAATATACCTTAACAGGGCCGCAGTCACATGTCAATTGCGAACTTCCGGGGACTATACCGCCACCGCCGAGAGTATCTCCCACGCCATAACGCGCGGCGTGGATTGAGGCTAAACTAGATGCCTAGGGCTCACAAGCAAATAAAATGAAGGAAGCTGCAGGAGATGCGGTAGCTGCTGCTATCTAGTTTAGCCCCAATCCACGCCACGCGTAGCGGCGTGTGAGATAATCTCAGCGGTGGCAGAGGTCGCCAGTAGTGCACAATTTAAGTCGCCAGTAGTGCACAATTTAAGTCGCCGGAAATTTGCAATTGACATGTGACTACGGCCCTGTTAGGGTATATTTTCGGCCTCGACAATATCGGACCGTTATTCCGAGCATACTTGGGAAGTATCTTTACATTCAATGGTAAAATAGACAGAGAGATCGAAGCAAGAATCCAACAAGCCAACAATGTCGCATACCAGCTTCCCCAATTTTAAAACACCCTGCTGTCCCAGCTGAGATAAAAAGACAAATTATAAATTCAATCTTTATACCGACATTAGGTTATCAATGTCAGACTTGGAAATTAACAAAAGAACACGAGAGAAGACTAACCACCTGTGAAATGAGATGTTTGAGAATGGCTGCGAATAAAACCAGAAGAGATCGAGTGAGAAACGATGTGATTACAAGAACTATTGGAACCATACCCATCGTTAAATATATTGAGAAGCAAAGAATGAAATGGTTTGGTCACCTAATGAGAATGGAACCAACGATGCCAGCATCAAGAGCATACAACATGAAAGTCGAAACACCAAGAGGCAGGAGAAGACCAAGAAGAAGATGGATTGAAGGAGTCACGGACAACTTGAGACTTCATAACATCACGGCATATGAAGCGACTGAGCGCGCCCTGGCTCGGTTGCCGATCATCTGATAGACTGCGACGCCTAGCGGCACAAGCAGATTTTGACAACAGAAAGAAAGAAGAAGATTCCGAGCATAACCCCTAAACAATATCTAGGCACATGTTTAAAGTATAAAGATCATTATTTCTTTGAAGAAAACCAAGAAGAAATCGTATCCTTTCTGTTTCATTTTTTTCCATTCTTTTTCTTGTTCTCCTTCTCCTTCTCATTTTACACCTCTCTTCCTGTCATGTTTCGTGTCCTGGACATCGGGCTTATGTATAATTTTAAGATATTCTCGGTTTTTTAATTATTTTTCTTCTTCTTCTGCATTCGCTTTTAAAAGAGCTGCTGGCACACTGTACTGTGGTTTACGGTTAGGCTGCGATATCTTCACCTTTCCACTCGACACACCAGAATTTAACATCTTCGATTAGTCGCCTTTGATGACATGTTTAAAAATGGGTAGTGGATCCATCCACTCCCCCACCAAATGGGGTCCGGGAACCCACACACGGAACTAATAGCTTAAAGGGTATTAATGATGGAACGTCGATTATAGAAATGGTATTGTGCATGTTCACAGTAAGCGAGACTATGAGAAAAGAAAACTCAATGTAACACTTACCTTGATTGTTGCACACAAGGAGAATGGGAAGAACAAAATGACCAGAATGTATGACAGTAAAGTCAGGATAATTGCGCAACAACCGCTTCCTTGAGGACCTCCGTCAGCTGTTAGACAAAGAGGAATGAGTTAGAGTTAAAAACTGACATCATAGCATTAGGGACGTTCCTATAACCGTTCCGTCCTCATCTTCATCAGCAAGCGCAATATCCAGTTCCGATGATGCCAGTAGCCGTCTGACCAAGGCCGTCTTCAATATGGGCCTTGGGGCTGATGACATCAGCCAGCGTGACGTCACCACCCCGGGCTAACGATACGAACATAAATAAACGACTTTCAGTAAGACAAGCGATGTCTTAGAAATAGGGTGACCATAGGTTCCGTTTTTACTCTTTCTGTCCCGTTTCTTCGGTGTGTCCCGGCCGTTCCCTGAAGACGGCCTGACTATATGTCCGTCTTGCCTGATCACTGAGTGTTGATCGTCGGCCAGATCCCCCTGGTCACTTCTCGCTGCATCATTCTCTTCACGACAATTTTTTTGTGCTTTTGCACTGTTTATTCGCTACCTAAAAAGTAAAAAAAAGCCCTGACACCATCTACCTTGGTATACATTAGTTTACCACCGTGGTGCAGAACGGCCCAATCCATCTAGACAAGGAAAACGTTGAAACTATTTCAAACTCATCACCATCATATTGGGGCATTATATGTCACACATGGCTCGCTGTGTATTCTATCCTAAATCGTTCAATCAGGTGCCATCTTCACAGTGAAGTTGTTTGCGGTGGATTTCCAGCATCTCGCCAGTACAGGCTATCAGACTGCTGTTCGCCTATCTCTTGATTTTGACGTGTATCGCTGTCTGCTTCTTGCTCTCTGTCTTCGACTTTTCCTTTCAATAAGGTTTTAAAAAAAGGTTACATCTTTTAATATGGCCAAAATATTTCTGCTATTTGTCCCCACTAACTCTCTTTGCATTCACAGTCCCTTCACCATCATCATCAGTTTTTGAGAGAAAAACAAATCATCGAGTTCAACCAGCATCCCTGAAAGGAGACCTTTAGGTTATAACTGTGACTAGGTTATGTGCACCATAAACAATTGGTTAGCACAGTACGACACCAACACTGCAGGAGTTATTTTCAGGGCTTACGGTGGCGTGTAATGCCAATATTAGCCGCTACACTCCGGTGGCTCTCAGCTATATATTTGTATGGAATGAATTATCAGTGTAACTGTTCTTTTCTTCCTTTATGACCCTGGTAACATACGGCGGGCTTAAACGCCGCAATCTTTATCATCATCATAAATTTCCACTTCTTTCGTTAATTGACTTTAGAAGGAACAGTTTGCAATCCACTGCTTAATAAGCAGCAATGGCTATTGTCATTCCGTGTCGACGAGGAAGCTCTTTAATGTCATCAGTCTATTTCCTCCTAGGGCGACCTCTTGCTTTCAGATCAGACCTTTTATGTGCAGCGCCTGTGTCGTTCTGACTGCATTCTTAACAAATTACCAATAAATTTGACCTTGTTTCCTAGTGAATTTGCTGCATGGTGTTGTTCTGACAGTCTTTTTGATAATATCACTTCTAACTTTGTCTCGTATAGTTAAGCTAGCGGCTTTTCTGAGACATCTTATTTAATATTTGTAAATTTTACGTAAGTTAGCCTTTGATAAAGTACAAGTCTGGCAATGGTAGCACAATGTGGGTATGACTATGGTGTTTATGATCTGTTTCTTGACGCTCATATGTATGTTTGGATGTCTTAAAAACGGTGTCAGTTTGTATATGTGTGTACTAACTGCATTAATAAGGGGAACAAATGTATTATGTCATAACTAGCAATCGAACTCAGTCCCCTTGCATTAAACAAAAGTATTAATGACCTCGCCACAAACATACACGACAGTACAGGAAACGCATAATGCTAACGATGGGTGTAAGTGCATTAAGTCAAGCCTACTAACCTCCAAAATCATAGCCACGATCATCCGAACGCGTGGATGCACTGCGTTGTGAACTGTTCGCTTTATCCACCGCTTGATTATTCATGATTGCATTGATTCTTCGGCGGATGAACAGTTACGTCTAGCATAAACAAACTACAGAAAAACAGCACAGAAAGATCCCAGTTACACGTAAATTCACATTGTAATCAATATTCAGTAGCAATCCGCATCTAATCAATACTTATTCAGACAACTAAACAACGGTTACATACACAAAGGTCGAATGTTTGAATCGAAGAAAAGCTTTGAAATGTCCAGGCTGGTAGGAACTATGGTTGTAAGCGAAACTCGGTTTCAGCATAATTAAGGCCTCCCATCTCCAAGAATCGACCGCTGGCTCGATCTTTGGTTCCGAGGATGCGGCGTTTGAGAGATGCTAGGGCATTTGAGCGCACGGTTTGCTACACAACGCGTGGTTTATGGCAGGGCCGGATTTAGACATTTGCGCCGGATCCCGTGAGTTCAGACTCACGGAACCTCTCCACTCCCTCCCTTGCCAGAGAAATAGTTAAGACAACTAAGCAGATCTCTTATTCATGTATAAACATCCTCTTGTTAAGTATATGTCTATATATTTCATATTATTTTAAATATATTATCACATATACCGTAATTGCGCTTCGTAATGCCGGGTTCGATCCCAGCTACGGACGCTTTGTCTTGCGTTGGCACCGAGAGCTGATCGTTCAGTCAGTAATGGTTCTAGTTTGCAAACTGTAACTAGGACTAGCAATGACAAGCTATATATAGGTTGTTGCGTATCCTTTACAGGACGTTGCAGAACCAACCCTAACAGCCCCTGGCTGTTGTGTGGTTTCTCTAGGCAATTTACATCCAGTAGTTTGCCATTGCTCTGGACGGTCGGCTTTCATGATACCACTGTCGACACCAACGCAAGGCGCATTGCCCGCAGCGGGGATCGAACCTGACATCCCGGCATTACGAAGCGAAGCGTTCGCATCGACTTAGCCACAGAGCCGAATGACAAGCTACTGAACGTAAAATTTGCCTAGAAGAGCCACATCATCATGTAGCAGGTCCTTTGCAGAACGTCGCTCTCATCACAGTCTGCCTGAAAGAAACTCGGTCTCTCGCCAGTTCTCCCGCCTCATGCATTTTCACATTCAAGGAGTCACCTATATCCTGTGCCCATCTTCGTGTCGGTCGGGCCCCTCCTTCCTGGTACCATGTCTTTTGCTATAATTTTTTCCAGTCCGTCATGGCGCTTGATATGACCAAAATATTTCAGCTTTCGAGAAAGGATGCTGTTTATTAGCCAATCTTTCTTGATGTTCAGATCTTTTAAGATGTCAATATTTCTCATCTTCTTTGCCCAAGATATTCTGAGAATCTTTCTATAACATAGAAGAGCCACAACAGTCGAAAAATGCTGGAGTTGGTTCTGCGACGCCCTGTGAAGCATACGCAACTAACTTGCCATTTAGTGCATTACATAAAACGCACAAATTTACGCACTTAAACAAGGCTTGGTGCTCAGTGACAAAACAATTACAGCCTTAATTCGTTATATTCTAAAATGTTACTGAATAAAAACGATATATAGAAGGAGCCGCCCTTTCAGATTTCTGGAAGAAGGGTGGGTTCTTTTCTGTTTAGCGACCACATCACGCTAGATTTAGGGAAATCCCATATTATAGGGATGAGGGGGTATTATGATAATAGTCACCATTCATTTAACACTAACTCTAACCCCCCTGTAATATGGGATTTTCCTAAATCTAGCGGGATGTGGTCGTTAACAGGAAAGAACCGAAGGACGGAGAAGCGGGTGGTCGAACTGTTAACAACGCAGGGCTCTCATGTGAGAGACCCGGGTAAGGTTGGAATTTTTTTTGGTCTAGGGCAAAAATAAAATCCTTATCTGCACAGTCAGTAACGACAGCAGCAGCCATGCGGCCCTAAATCCTCAAGCTCAAAGCCACCCCCCCCCCCCCCCCCACATTTAACACCGCTCAAATTTTATAAAGGTAATACGGGTAGTCTTCTTCGATCCTTCTGTCAGAAAACTTATATCAGGGGGCCAGTAGCCTTTAAGAAAGCTATCGTGCAGTCCATATCCTCTCGTGTATCATACAGTTTTGTCTTCATTGTGCTTGAAACAGGCCAGACAGTCATTGACATTTTTCATTTTTTCCTGTTCCGTGTCTTTGCTGAAGAAAAAAATCTGTCACGTTCATTTAGCATTCCCAAAAAAGGAAAAGAAAAAAAGGGGGGGGGGGGGCTTTAGGTTATAACTGTGACTGTGTTATTTGCGCCATATAAAAATGGCTTGGAACTGTACGCCACCAACCTTTTTTGGGGAGACATTTTTCGTTATTTGAAGCCATACCCTGGCTCTTGCCAGGGGCCGCAATATAGCCTGGCCATAAATATGGCCTAATGGCTGAACGCGGTTTCTGGGACCTCTCCACGGTGATCCTCATCCACATGGTGGCACATTGTGTCATCGGTTGTTTATCGCTTGTGTGATGTCCTGGTGGGGTAGAAAGTCAGTCAGTCACACCACCAACAACTCTGAGAAGGACCTCCTGCAGTGCTGATGCGATCAAAGCAGACAGATCCAAATACTGCCCCGACCGCCGACGAAATCGTCTGCCAGCGAGCTAATGGGCAACCCCATACCCCCCCCCCCCTTTTTTTTTTGTAGAAAGCTCAAGGAGACAGAACTACCGATTCCGGCGCATATGATTTTAGATGTTAAAAGTAAAAACGGTACTGGGCCATGTCAGCTGAACGTATGAGAAGACCTTAGTACCGATTCTTCTTTTTCCTACTGTTCACTGGCTGTAATATCTGGTTGTTTGTCCACTACTGGACTTTCGTCTTAATCTGGAACCTGAGTTCTGAGTGCACATCCATTTTACTGATCTGCCTTATTTGCAGCCATGCTGTGGGTTCCTTGCCTCTCATGCAATTTGCTCACTCGACTAACAACAACATTAAAAGTGACAGGGCTGACTTCCCAGCACTGGGTTTGATCCCATATGGCTCAGTCACTCTCAAAAGAATGGCTGGCCGTTTGCCGAAAGTGTCAAACAAAACATGAACATAGATAAAGTAACGACCCAGGAAT